TCCTGGGTCAGTGAATCTTCAAGAAGAAGCTGGAGCTATGCTTGCCCCAACGCCTCTCCTAACATTTCTAATTTCCTAGGAAGGGTGTATGCTAACTCTACCATTTCAATTCATACAATACTGGGGGCACATTAAGGAGGTTATGGGGCAGCAGAGGTGATGTGACCTGACTTAAAAAGTCTCAGTTGCCATAAGAGTCCCTGTTGGATACTTTCTTCAGGAGGTAATGTCCTGAAACATCTTAGGTTGGCCCAATGCCGCCTTCTACCATAGTTAGGGGGCCAGGACAGTTGGTCTATTGAGGGCAGGAAAATACAATATGGTGCAAATGAACCTAATGAGGTAGCCAGACTCTCTCCCATTTTGAGGCTGCCTGTAAGCTGCAGATGAACTTTGAGAGAGTCTGTACTGTTGCTTGACTGACTTTGTATATTGTGCAAGCAGAGTTGTGTGTGTTGATAGGAAAAACAAAGACAGACAAATAGGTGGCACAGTGGATAGAGTGCCAGGTCTGGAATCAGGAAGACTGAGTTCAAATCTAGCCTTGGACACTTACTAGTTATGTGATGCTGGGCAAGTCACTTAACCTCTGTCTGCTTCAGTTTGTTTAACTGTAAAACAGATATAATAATAGCACTTAACTCTCAGTTTTGTTATGAGGACCAAATGAGACAATATTCATAAAATGCTAATAACAGTACCTGGCACTTAAATTCTTGTTCTCCTTCACCCCTCTTCATGGTAGAAAAATCGGGTTTTGGGAGTATCATGTCCTTGTGTGGCTTTCTCTGTATATCCCTGTGCTTCCCCTGTATCCTTGGGAAAGTCTTGTGCACTGGGCTTTGCTATAAATCACCTGAGGCATTAGGCATAGAATACATTAAAGGGATAATGACACGGTGTCACTTGATTGGTGACAACTTGACAGCCCCTTTTAAGCTCTTCCTTATTCCCTCAGTGGTATGAGACCCTCATAGTCAGTGGTCACATTTCCCAACACTTAGACCTTCCCTACCTATTATTTATACCTTCTCATTCTCCCCTCCCCTCCCAACCCTTTAACCTTGGCCCCTGTGACAAATGAGGTTGTCTTTCTATATTTTCAGAGCTGTGTATTCTATTTTTGATTCTGTTATTTATGGGAACAATGCCTATATTTGTTGTGTTTCCTTACCTCCCTTGGTTGATGGGAAAGGGGTGGGGTAGCAGTTGGAGAGTCAGTGATTATATGACTCATAAACCTACTATGTTCCCAGAGGCTAATTGGACAAGCATGAACCTGGGATTATAAATGAATGACTGAGCTACCCAGGAGGTTGTGAGATTCTCGAGGACAAAGACTTCCATTCTTGTCTTTATGTCACCAATGTCTTTCACACAGTGGGTGCAATAATAACTGTTACTTGAACTTTGTCGAATTGCTATCCAGAGCATTCAGGTGGGCAAATTCTAAAGTTGTTGGCAGTGATCTTGGATGAGAGATGCCATTTTCTTCTGGGATCAGAAAGGATCTGAGTTTTATGGCATGGAGGTCCCAACCTTGAGAAGATTATGGAGGTAAACTAGAACTGAAGACTCATAGCTCAGTAAGTTGAGGCATAAGTGATTTTCTTTTATTTGTGCCTTACCCTGATAGCTTTTTTCTAAAGATAAGTATTTTCTTTTCTTTGTAGATAAACCAAAAAGACATGATTTTATAGCAGAGGGTGGCAGTTGGGTGCCTCTCCAAGCATGTATTTTGTTTTATAGCTATTACTGGACTACAAGTTCCACAAAGGTAGAAATCTTTTTTCATCAAAAGTATCTCCTTCATTGCTCTGTACAAAGTACTAGGTAAACGTTTGTTCATTCGAATCTAGCATTTGCTTTGGCCTTCCAGCCCCTCTGGCCTTCACCACAGACACTTCTTTCACGCTCAGTTTCCATCTACCAGATGGAAAACTTGCCCTCTTTCCTCCCCACCACTTCCATCCCCTTTCGGGAGAGTTGTGTTCCCCACAGTTGAGGAGAAAGGAAGAAGACAAGGAAACGTGGTTTGCGTAAGTGACATATCTCAATATAATTTCTAAAACTCTATGATTTGAACAGCTAAAATACTGCTGGGCTATTTTGTTACAAAATATTTGCCATTCGGATTCTTTAATGGTGTTGTCACCCTGCCTTTCCCCAGAGAGGCTTCTCTCCTATAGGGTGAAGGGTGGCAAGGACACGTATTACAGCAGGACACAGAGAGACAGATGGGCAGGTGCCTATACCTAGGCTGCTGGGTTCTGTTGGCTATAGAGAAACATTCAGATGGGCTGTGCAAGAGCAGTGTTAAGAGTCACTGGGGTGGGGAGTGTCTGAGGGCTCTAAAGGTGTGTAAAGTTAGGAGAGGGACAAACTGATGTCTAGCCCAGACTTCATCTCCCTGGGCCTCTATTTCCTCATCTGTAGAATGAGGGGTTGGTTTCTAGGATCCCTTACAGCTCTAACTCCTACGATCCCTATGATTGTCAGAGTCCTGCTTGGTAATGGGGAAGTGGGGGTGGAGTGGGGAGTGGGAAGGATAGGCTGGGAATTTCCCTGGTGGAAACTGATTTTCAGTTTTTATTCCGGGATTGGTGTTGGACTTGATTAATTCACACGTGACTGTGAGCACATTAGGTGAGTTATGGGGCTGCAAAGCTGCTTTTCTTCTTTAGAATCAGAGATAGGTAAGGCCAAGTAAGGGAGTTGAGGGTGGTACTATCCTTGCTTAGTATTCTATGGGTTAAAACAACACATCTCTTTTAGACGAAGCAGTAAAGCCCGTATATGTTGTGTTTGGTCAGGGGTTCTAGGTGCATGTGGCTGGGGGCAGGGCAGGAGGAGAGGAAGATATCCTTGGAAGGATATTTTAAGAACTATCCCTGAATGTGTACTCTAGGAAGTATTCTGCCCTAGTCCTGGCCTAATGCCAAAGTTGGCACTCTTGTAGAGCTACTAGCATGGGGGAGGAACAGCCCAGGGGTCTAATGCTGCAGGATGGATCAGATCTCAGGGAGCTCAGCTATGGCAGTTGGTGACAATGGTGTAGATGTGGTAGGATGTAGGATGTTTTGTCCGCAGTTATGGACAGAGGGGAAGGGAGATCGTAGAGTTTTATATAGAGACTATCCACCTTTCAAGAATGTGGATGTAAGAGGTTACTTTGTGTAGGATGTAGACATTGCCAGCAGCTCACAGTTGGCCTCCGGTCCAGATTTTGCTATCTTGGGCCTCTTGCCTTTCATGACTGATTGTAGACTTCCTACATGACCTAGGACTACCCATATGTATTAAAGTGGGGGTACACTGATATCCCTTCATGTAGAAAAGGTCCCTGGGGACGGTGAGCTAACTGGAGACCATGCCATACAAGCATCAGTTCAAGTATAGGAATGGTTAGCTTGGAAAAACAGATTTGGAGCGAGAGGGATGATAGGGACAGGATAGCTATCTTCAAGTATTTAAGCCTCAGCAGGCAGTAATAGGAGTAATGGGTGAAAGTTGTGGGGAAGCAGTGAGAAGTTCAGCAATTGGAGCTGTCCAAAAGTGGAATGAGCAGCCTCAGGAAGTGGAGGGCTCTCTCCTCACTGGAGGTCTTCATGTGGCTGTTGAAGGAGCACTTAGCAGTGATATTACAAAGGGGATTTGCTATCAGACATAGGACTGGAGCGTCTCTAAGGTTCCTTCCAAATTTTAGATTTTGTGATTCCTTTTTTATGTAGTGGAAAAAAAGCAACGTGAGGTAGTGTGGTACATTGGAAAGGGCATGAGATTTGAAGTTGGAGGACCTGGGTTCAAATCTCACCTCTGTCATTTATTGCTTGCATGACCTTCGACAAATCTCTTAAGCTCTCTGGGGTCTCACTTTCCTCATTGGTGAGAAAAGGCATTGGACCTGTTGACTTCCAAGGTCTTTTCCAGTTTAAAACCTATGAGCATTGTATTTGGGGTAAGAAATCTCAGATCCTAGCTCCTCCATTTGATGTGAGGTAAGTTCCTTTGTCTCTCTCCACCTCAATTTCTTCATCTATGACATGGAGTAGGATGGGGTGGTCTCTGAACTCCTTTTCAACTCTTAATATCTATGTGGCTATGATTTTTTTTTCTAGAAGAAGGTGTGAGGAAGAGTGGAGAAAGGAAGGACCTTTAGGAATTCAGAAACTGCCAGTAAGTTTAGACACCCTTGGAGAAGCTTCAGGGTCATGAACCTAGGGAAGGGGAGAGGAGACTACAGATTGGCTGATTGAATCCTTAAATTGTTAGACGAACCAGGGTTTGGTCAAAGGTGAAAGGGAGGGAGAATAACCAACTGCATTAACCTCCCAGGCCCTGTCCCTTAAGCATGATTCCACATGATTCTTTCCTGTTCTCTGGCACCATTTGTAAATCAGCCCAGCATTCCAGTTGGATCAGAGAATCTGAGTTGGAAGGGACCTCAGAGGTCATAGATTTAGTTTAAGTCACATCCAGAAAAGAATCCTCTCTTCAGCCTACCTGACCAGTGGTCATTCAGCCTTTCCTTGAAGGAGGAGCTTAGACTTCCTCCCAAGGAAGCCTATTCCACTTTTGGATAAGTCTGTGCTTTCTTCCTGATGGGTCCAGATGTGCATTTGCAACGTCTACCCATCACTCCTAGCTCTGTCCTCTGGTACTAAACAGAGTAAATGTAATTCTTCACTCACATACCAACCCTCAGCAGCTTTCATGTTTTACCTGGCTCCTTTTTTCCAGGATAAAAGCATCCAGTTCCTTCAATTAACTCTCATATGGCATGTTCTTGAGGCCCTTCTCCATCTTTGTTGCCTTCCTCTGAACACTCTAGATTACCGATTTCCTTCTTAAATGTGGCACCCATAATTGAACACAATATTTCAGCTATTGTATGACAATAGATACTATCCTCTCTCTAGCCTAGGCTCCAATACTGCTTAACATAGCCTAAAACCATCCTAGCTTTTTTTTTTTGGTTGCTATATTACATTGTTGACTCATATTAAAGTTGCAGTTCAGTAACCCCCTAGGTATTGTTTTTAATATAAATGGTTGTCTAGCTAAATCTACAGCTTGTACTTGTGAGGTTCATTTTTTTAATCCATGTGTAAGACTCTATGAAAATGAAATTTAATTTTATTAGGTATGGCCCAATATTTTAGCCTGTCTATATCTCTTTTTCATAACTCCACTCATGTATCCTGATTCCAATCAATCCCCTACTCATGACTTCTGCATTAGCCATTCCCCCAACTCATCTTCCCTCCACCCTTCTGGCTCTGCTTCCCCTTTATGATTCCTTCACCTTGCCCCATTGTTCCTAATTACCTATCATTCCTTGGGTATACCCGTCCCCTCTTCATCTCAATGCAGATATCTAGATTTCCATCCTTTAAAAGTGATTCTTGCCTTGCTGCTCCATCAGTGGATGGAGTAGTCCATTACCAAACTGAAGAATAATTTTCAGAAGGGTCGAGGTAGGAAAAGAGAAAGAAGAACTTCTGTCTATAGCGAAGTCCCAGGGTCCTATATTGTAATAGGTTGGGATTCATAAGAAATGGAAGACAGGGACAGATAAAAGAGGATGGGAATTAGGGTAAAGGAATCAAAGAGACAGAGACTTGGCTGCAAGTTATGACATCTGGGCCAGAAACAATCAACTAGGCAGGATCAGTGACATCTAGGTTGTTCATAAAAGAACTATGTCATCTGGATGGAGCGATTTAGTTATTTAGCCTTCCTACAAACTTCTATTGCCTTGGCCCTGATCCAGTCCAGTGTGTTGGGAGCTGGGGTTTTGGAAGATGATGATGGGAGAGGTTGCCTTGTATTCCAAATTTTGCTATCTACCAGTACCCTACCATAGGTAGGGTCATCTTACCCCATAAGTCACTTTTCTATTGGGCCTCAAAGATGTGGGTCGGGGTGAGAGTCAGACATCCTGATGTAGTGAAAAACACATTGGTTCTACACTTAACGGACCTGGATCTACATCCTAACTGACACTAGCTACGTGGCTATGGGCTAGGCAATTAATTAAGCTCTCTGAGCCTCAACTTCTTCATCTGTAAATAGGGACAAAGCTTGCATCACTTAATTCACAGGTTTTCAGGAGGAAGAGCTCTTTGCAAACCACAGAGTGCCATAGAGATGTGAGCTCTTACTATTATTCTACAAAGGACAATTATTCTCTGAAGACATCACAGCTTGGAATGACTTACTGGTCTAGAGTAATGACCAAAGAAAGCTATGGAGTATCTTCCGAAGGGTCTTATAAATGATAAATTTGCATCTGTTAGGTGTAGTTTTGCCTGAAGACAGGGGGATAGACTAGCTGTGTCTTAGAGATCCTGTCTAGCTCTGTGGTCCTATGAGCTAATTTTGGTTAATCATGTAAAGTACATAGGGGCTGGCCTCTCTAGGGGCAGGAGGGAGTGACTCAGCGCCTTCTCTATCCCAACAAGACCAGTTATGCTTACTACCATAAGTGCTCTACCAAGCCAGCCTTTGGTCATGACATCAGCCATGTCAGCTTCTTCTCCTCTGTCTCCATCCTCACCCCCAACTAAAGTCAGAAAACAATGGCTCCAGTCTCATCCTTCCCTCACCTTTTACAGAGGGAGAAGGAAAGGTGAGGGTGGGGAATAGAGGAACTCCTGACTCCTCTCCATTTGAATTCCTGGTTGGAAGTAAGCCTTAGTCCAAGTTGGGGGAATACATGTGGTTTTGGTGGGAGGAGGAGAAGGCTGGTGGAGGAAGAAGGGACCTTCCATTCATGACTAGAATATGAGGAGTCAGGGAAGAGAGAGACCTGAGGTGGGTTTCCCAGGTATTGGGGCTCAGCAGAGTCAGTAGGTTTGAGGGGAGAAGTGGGATTGGGAGAGGGAGACCGAGGTACCATTGATCGTTTTTTTCTTTAAAAAATTACTGTGGTCATTAGTCAGGAACTAAGCATATCTGTGGGGGTGGGAGTGGGGAGACATCTAGGGGTGAGGAGCTCCCAGGAGAGGCAGAGGGACACAATGAGGAGTGGGAAGTAAATTTGTGCTGTTGGGTATAGCCAGGTTTCATGGTAGGTGGGGAGAAGGTAAGGGGGAAAGGGCAGTGGTTACACCAGGCTTCTGGAACCACTGGAATACCTCCTTTGTTGGAGCAGAGAGCCTGGAGGGCAGTACTGATGTGGATGGTTATAAGGGGGAGGGGGTGGGGGTAGAGGGGGCTGGTGGATGATCTTGATGGGGGTGGCAGGACCTCGAAGGGGAGTGGAGCTGCAGGAGTCAGAAGAGGAGGCATAACAGGTGAGTGCCTGGCTCAGGAGGGGCTCCATGCGGGCCAGGCAGGGCTTGTCCAGGACAATGACTTTGACAATCTGCTGGCACTGCACCAGGGTCCCTGGGGGGGTGGGTGGTGGTGGCGGTAGCAGGTCCCTTGGGGAATTAGGAGGCAGGCCTGGCGATGATGGTGGTGGTGGCGGCGGCAGCGGCACTCCCTTCTCGGGCCCCAGCCTGGAGTTGTGCTGGTACGTTTGAAGCCTGTTGTGAATTGACACCTAGTTTAGAAACAGCCAGAGAAGCATGACATGTTACATGACCAATTCCCAGCTGCTAGGACTGGCTACCCTAAGCCTCCACCCCTTCTCCCCACCCTCAGCCCCATCCCACCACTCCTATGCCCTCTGCCCCGCAGTCTTCCCACTGGACTTGGAGTCAGAAGATTTCAATTTAAGGATAGGCTTTGCTTCATACTAACTGACTGTGCTTTATCAAGTCTCTTCTCTCAAGGCCAAATAGGGGTTGGACTGGAATTCTAGTGTCTCCTCCAACTTGAAAATCCTACCTAGGATTCTTCCTCACTTTGTTCCTTTTACTGTTCTGAAGGGAGACTGGCTAGAGATCAAAGTGTCAGAGGTCTAATCCTGATTCTAACATAGGAATTCACTTCGGTATAATGCCAGAAAAAACAAATCAAACCAAAATAAAAAACAAAAATCCCAGAAGAAAAAAAAAAAAAACCTGCCCTGGAAATCAGGAGCCTTGGACTCGAGTCTCAGCTCTATCCCTAAATAGCTGTAGCACCCTGGGCAAGGCCCTCCCCACTCAGAATCTCAGTTTCTTCATCTGTAAAATAAGAGAGCTGGACTAGAAGCTTTCTGAAGTTGTTTTGAACTCTAAAGTCCTAACACCTTATCACGTGGTCTTGGCCAAATGACCGAACCTCTTAAAATCATTTTCTCTCTCTGTCTTTGTCTCCTCCCTTAAGGGGATAGTCATTCTAGCTCCCCTTCCAGTCTCACAAAGGTGTTATGATGAAAAAAGAGGTCAGACTTATTGACAGAGTTCAAGCCTGTCAAAGTTCCCCTGTGTTTGGGCCAAGAAGGACCTACAAATCTCTGGCACCCTAGATTTTATTTATTTAGCACCTTCCCCCCACATATTCTCTTCTCACACTCATCAGATCCAAAAAACATTAACTCCCTAACAAGCAGGGTCTGATTTTTGGTTTTTAAAAACTCAAATAGAGAACTGTTTCATTTGAGGTTCAACTGAATGTCTTTCTGAGGCCCTGGACTGATTTGTTTAGTTAGAGGATGGGTTACCATAAAAAGATAGAAAAAAGCTGAGTCTCCCAGAAGTAGTGAAAAGAGTACTAGATGAAGTGTTAGGAGATCTGGGTTTAACTCCCAGCTCTGTTGCTTACCTTGGGCAAATCTAATAACTAGATTTAATATAATACTTTAAAGTTTGCAAAAACACTTTACATTCATTTTGTCATAAAAGTCTCAAAACAGCCCTCTGAGATAGGTACTATAAGTATTTTTATCCCCATTTTATAGATGAGGAAACTGAGGCTTAGCAAGGTTAAGTGACTTACCCATGGTCTGAACCTCAGTTGCCTTATTTGTGATATGAGTAGGTTGTATCATATTGTCCAGGATCCTAAGATTCTAAGCAAATGAATGGACAAGGAAAATCCTCCCTTATCCATAGGGGTAGATGGTTCAGTTTGTAGTCTTCCTCCAGATGGACAGTGTGGGTTAAAAGGTGAAGAGAGGGGAAAGGCAAAGAATTGGCCAGTGGGAAGCTTTGAGATTTCCCATGGACCACAGCGTTCCATACTGTCTCCTAATAGGTATATCTGATTAAGGGCCCTTATATCTCCAACACCTGACACCTTGGTTCAGCCCATCTCTCAGGTACATATCTTGCTAGGACAATATGTTTCCTCTGGGTGCACCTTTCTCCTTATCCCTGACCTCTGGAGATGGCTGTTCTGGGTATGAAAGAACAGCAGGTTAAGAAGAACATATCCTTGCTTTTATGGACAAGTTAGGATCATGATGTCCCAACTTTACCTCAGGATCTGAGCCCTAACTCACAGGTTCCCAGCCTCTGTACCTTTTGGCAACATATGTCTATCACTTTCCACCAGAGGTCTTTGCCCCTCTCGCCTATCTCCAAAGGGATATTCCTTGTCATTTTCTTTTCCACATAAACAACCTCTAACAATTATTCCTAGACAATCCCTTATTCTTACTTTCTAATAACCCACCTGGGTTCCTGGTCCTTTTCCTCCAATAGCATCTTCTGGCCCTGAGACATGCCCAAAATGGCAGGAAAGTTCCTACAGCTACCTTACCACTGCACTAGGAAATACCCCAAGACCAACCATGTGACTATGAGGTCAAGCCTTTCCCTGTTGTCCCTTTAAGTCTCTCATTGCTTAGAAAGTTGTTTTGTTTTGTTTTGCTTTTAAATCACCACAGCTGCTGGAGGCAGACAACAAACCTTTTGTCCCATCTTCCCCTGTTGGGAACACCTTCCAGGATGAGACAATATCTATGAAGAAAACGGGGCAAATTCCTACGGTGCCAGAACATTGGGTAGAGTTTTGGGAAGCTCAAGACCTTGCTACTCCCTCGCCCTAGATGGAGCACACCTGAATGCTCACACTAAGCAAAAGCTTAACAGACCCTCTTTCTCCATTTCCCTTTCTTTCTTTCTTTCTCTTTCTTTCTTTCTTTCTTTCTTTCTTTCTTTCTTTCTTTCTTTCT